GCATGTCCTGGTGCGTGTATGTCCTGGTGTGTGCATGTCCTGGTGCGTGTATGTCCGGCGTGCACGTCCCGCGTGCGCATGTCCTGCGTGCGTGCATGTCCTGGCGTGCGTACGTCCTGCGTGTGCATACGTCCTGGTGTGCGGCACTGTCCTGGCGTGCGCATGTCCTGCGTGCGTACGTCCTGGTGTGTGCATGTCCTGGCGGTGCGGCATGTCCGGCGCGGTGTGCATGTCCGGTGCACGTCCTGGCGTGCATGTCCTGGTGCGTGCGTACGTCCTGGCGTGCGCACGTCCTGTGTGCGTGCATGTCCTGGTGTGCGTACGTCCTGCGTGTGCGTATGTCCTGCGTGGCATGTCCTGGCGGTGCATGTCCGGTGTGCGTACGTCCTGCGTGTGCATGTCCTGGTGCGTGTGTACGTCGGCGTGCGTATGTCCCGGCGTGCGTACGTCCTGCGTGCGTAGGTCCTTGCGTGCGTGCACGTCCCAGTGCACGTCCTGGCGTGCGTGACGTCCTGCGGCATGTCCCGGCGCGTGCATGTCCTGGTGCGTGCATGTCCTGGTGGTGTGCATGTCCCGGCGTGGTGTACGTCCTGCGTGCGCATGTCCCTGGCGTGCGTGCACGTCCTGCGTGCGTGCAACCTGGCGTGCGTGCGACGTCCGGTGTGCGTATGTCCTGCGTGCGTGCATGTCCTGGTGCGTGTGCATGTCCTGGCGTGCGGTATGTCCTGGTGTGCGCATGTCCTGGCGGTGCATGTCTTGTGTGCGTATGTCCCGGTGCGTGCGTACGTCCTGGCGTGCGCACGTCCTGGTGCGCATGTCCTGCGTGCATGTCCTGCGTGCGTGCACGTCCCAGTGTGTGCATGTCCTGGCGTGCGTGCATGTCCTGGCGTGCGTGCATGTCCTGGCGTGCGGCATGTCCTGGTGCGTGCATGTCCTGCGTGCGTGCATGTCCAGCGTGTGATACGTCCTGGTGGTGTGTGCATGTCCTGGTGTGTGTGCATGTCCTGGCGTGCATGTCCTGGCGTGTGTGTACGTCCTGCGTGTGCGTGCATGTCTGCGTGGTACGTCCGGCGTGCGTACGTCCTGGCGTGTACGTCCCTGGCGGTGTGTACGTCCCGGCGTGCGCGGCACGTCCTGGCGTGCGGCATGTCCCATGCGTGTGCACGTCCTGCGTGTGCATGTCCTGGTGTGCGTGCATGTCCTGGGTGGTGCGCATGTCCTGGCGTGGGCATGTCCTGGTGCGTGCGGCATGTCCTTATGCGAAGTACGTCCTGCGCGTAATGTCCCGGTGCGTGCATGTCCTGGTGCGTGTACGTCCTGGCGTGTGCATGTCCTGGTGCAGTGTATGTCCTGCGTGTATGTCCTGCGTGCGCGGCATGTCCTGGTGCGTGCATGTCCTGCGTGCATGTCCTGGTGCGTGTGCATGTCCTGGCGTGTGCATGTCCTGGCGTGTGTGCATGTCCTGGCGTGCGGCATGTCCTGGTGTGTGCATGTCCTGCGTGTGCATGTCCTGGTGCGTGCATGTCTTGGTGTGTACGTCCTGCGTGCGGGCATGTCTTGGTGCGGCATGTCCTGCGTGTGTGTGCATGTCCTGGCGTGTGCGTCCTGGTGCGTGTGTACGTCCTGGCGTGTGCGATGTCCTGGTGCGTGCATGTCCTGCGTGCATGTCCTGGCGTGCGTGCATGTCCTGGTGTGTGCGTATGTCCTGGCGTGTGGTATGTCCTTGCGTGTATGTCCTGGTGTGTGTGTATGTCCGGTGTGCGTGCATGTCCGGCGTGCGTGTATGTCTTGGTGTGTGTGCATGTCCTGGGTGTGTGCATGTCCTGGTGTGCATGTCCCAGTGTGTGCATGTCCTGCGTGCATGTCCTGGTGCGTGTGTACGTCCTGGTGTGTGCATAACCCCGGTGTGTGTATGTCCCGGCGTGCATGTCCTGCGTGTGTGCACATCCTGGTGTGCATGTCCTGGTGTGGTGCATGTCCCTGGTGTGCAGTCCGGCGTGGTGACGTCCCGCGTGCGCATGTCCTGGCGTGCGTGCGTATGTCCTGCGTGCGCACGCGGTCCTGGTGTGTGCATGTCCTGGTGTGTGCATGTCCCGTGGTGTGTGTGTATGTCCTGGTGTGTGCATGTCCTGGTGTGTGGCATGTCCCTGGCGTGGCATGTCCTGGTGCGTACGTCCTTGCGTGCGTCCGGCGTGTGTGTATGTCCTGGTGCGTGTATGTCCTGCGTGTGCATGTCCTGGCGTGCGCTGTCCGCGGTGTGCGGCATGTCCTGGTGTGCATGTCCTGGTGCGTGTGTATGTCCTGGTGTGTGTGTATGTCCCTGTGTGTGTACTGTCTTGCGTGCATGTCCTGGTGCGCATGTCCTGGTGTGCGTATGTCCTGTGTGATGTCCTGCGTGTGTGTATGTCCTGGTGTGTGCATGTCCTGGTGGTGTGCATGTCCTGGTGTGCATGTCCTTGTGTGTGTGTATGTCCTGGGTGTGCGGCATGTCCTGGTGTGGTGCATGTCCTGGTGTGGGCATGTCCTGCGTGTGTGCATGTCCTGGTGTGTGCATGTCCTGCGTGTGCATGTCCTGGTGTGTATGTCCTGGGTGTGTGTGCATGTCCTGGTGTGTGTGCATGTCCTTGGTGCATGTCCTGGTGTGTGTGTATGTCCTGGTGTGTATGTCCTGTGTGTGTGCATGTCCTGCGTGTGTGTATGTCCGAGTGTGTGGCATGTCCTGGTGTGGGCATGTCCTGTGTGTGTATGTCCTGGTGTGTGTATGTCCTGGTGCGTGTCCTGGTGTGTGGCATGTCCCATGGTGTGTGTCCTGGTGTGGCTGTCCGGTGTGTGTGCATGTCGTATGTGTGCATGTCTTGTGTGTGTATGTCCTGGTGTGTAATGTCCTGGTGTGTGTATGTCCGTGTGTGTGTATGTCCTGGTGTGTGTAGTCCTCGGTGTGGATGTCTGTGTATCCTTGCGTGTGCGCGTCCTGGTGTGTACGTCCTGGTGTGCGTGCATGTCCTGGTGTGTGTATGTCCTGGTGTGCGTGTATGTCCTGGTGTGTGCATGTCTTGGTGTGTGTATGTCTTGGTGTGTGTGTAGTCCTGGGTGGTCTGGTTTCGGGTGGTGCCGTATGTCTGGTGGGTGGTATCCTGGAGTCGTGGCATGTCTGGTGTGCATGTCCTGGTGCGTGCATGTCCGGTGTGTGTGCGTGCGTAGTCCTGTGTGCATGTCCTGGTGTGTGTAATCCTATGTGTATGTCTTGGTGTGTGTGTATGTCTTGGTGTGTATGTCTTGGTGTGTGTATGTCTTGGTGTGTGTGTATGTCTTGGTGTGTGTATGTCTTGGTGTGTATAGATGCCTGTCGTCATTTTGTGTTTGTAAGTCGATCATCTTACTGGATTGGGTGGGTATGTATGTATGTATGTATGTATGTATGTATGTATGTATGTATGTATGTATGTATGTATACCCCTAAAATAAACTGGCCTTAATACATCACTTCGCTACATAATACACACAACTGTCTCCTTAACTCACCTATAAACCCTCAAGTAATCCACAACACACACACTATGAATCTTTATCTCCATAAACTCTATAAATCCTTTCCTAAGTGAAGGATTTACCAGGATTTACAAGGGTTTACGGAAAAAGTTTTAGTGTACAGAAAAGACAATTTTGATTCAGGGGAGGAATTCATCTTGTCGTAATCGTTGTCTTCCCTGTTGTCTTTCATTGTCTTCCCTGTTGTCTTCTCGTTGTCTTCCTCGTTGTTCTCTCTTGTTGTCTTCTCGTTGTCTTCCCTTGCTGGTTCTTCCTCGTCGTCTTCTCTCGTTGTCTTCCCCGTTGTCTTCCTCGTTGTCTTCTCGTTGTCTTCCTTGTCTTCCCCTTGCTGTCTTCCCTTCGTTGTCTTCTCCCTGTTGTCTTCTTGCTTGTCTTCCTCGTTGTCTTCCCTGTTGTCTTCCTGTTGTCTTCCTCGTCGTCTTGTCGTCGTTTTCGTTGTCTTCCTCGTTGTCTTCCTGTTGTCTTCTCGTCGTCTTCTCAGTTGTCTCCTCGTTGTCTCTCGTTGTCTTCCTCGTTGTCTTCTCGTTGTCTCTCTCGTTGTCTTCCCTCGTTGTCTTCCTCGTTGTCTTCCTCGTTGTCTTCCTGTCATCAAGGGATACTTCGAGCAGCAACCTCGCTCTTAAACAATTGACCCGAAGAGGAGGGTAGACACTAACAGTCCAGTCTTACCCTCGAGGGCCTACAGTGGTGGTGGTGGTGGTAGTGGTGGTACAGGGTGGTGGTGGTACAGTGGTGGTGGTGGTGGTGTGGTGGTACAGTGGTGGTGGTGGTGGTGGTACAGTGGGTGGTGGTGGTGGTGGTACAGAGTGGTGGTGGTGGTGTGGTACAGTGGTGGTGGTGGTGGGTGGTAATGGTGATACAGTGATGGTAATGGTTTATTAGTTTAGCTAGTTAATTTAGTTTAGGTCAAGGTTAGATCAGGTCAGGTTAGGTTAGTTTAGTTTAGTTTATGTCAGGTTAGGTGAAATGTAATCATTTAATTACCAAAAAACAATAAAAACATCATTTCTGTTAATTAATTTACCCCCCAAAATACAAATAAATAAAATAGAAAATTAATTGATAAAAAATATATATTTCCTTAAAACCTCACCTAACACACACCTGAGTTCCTACCTGGCTGTCTTATTAACTCACCCACCTGCCTTGTGGGGTGGGTGGTTAGTTTGTTAATGTACAGTGGTTTTTGTCGATTGTTGACACACTACTAACCACGTGTTATTGTGACAACTACTAACCACGTGTTATTGTTGACACACTACTAACCACGTGTTATTGTTGACACACTACTAACCACGTGTTATTGTTGACACACTACTAACCACGTGTTATTGTTGACTCACTACTAACCACGTGTTATTGTTGACACACTACTAACCACGTGTTATTGTTGACACACTACTAACCACGTGTTATTGTTGACACTACTAACCACGTGTTATTGTTGACAGTTGAAGCTACAAGTGGCTGAGGTGAGCCGAGTGATAGAGACAGTGGGTCTCTCTCTCTCCCTGGCGTCCATCCTCGTCTCTCTCATATTCTCTTACTTCAGGTGAGTGACTCTCTCTCTCTCTCTCTCTCTCTCTCTCTCTCTCATACATACATACTACATACATACATACATACATACATACATACATACATACATACATACAATGGTAGGCATTGAACTAGCATGAGTGAATTTATACTTAGCTAAATTACATGGTGGAGAGTGTAGCAGCATAAGGACTGGTGTAAGGCTCTTCAACACACAGACCCGACACACTCAGCCGAGCCACTTAACCTACAGATAAAAGTGCGTCTGTTGTGTAAGGAGTGTCACTATACTTACTTGTTGAACGTGTGTGTGTGTAAGTCTCTCTTTCTCGTTGCCCTTCCTTCCTTCCTTCCTTCCAACGTCACTACCATTCCTTCCACCTCTCTTCCTCACAACCTCCTCCTCCTTTCCCATCCAACCTCCTTCCCTCCTTCCCTCCTTCCTTCCTTCCTTCCTTCTCTCCTTCCCTCCCGCTGAAGAGACAACTCCCTCACAGAGCTCCTTCTACAGACAAATGTGAACAAATAGTCACATATATAACATAGAGTTTAATGTTATCATGTAGAGTTCATAACATGTTTAGTTAACGTGTGTATAGTGGAGTGAATGGCGTAATATTGAACACTAATGAACAGTGAACATAGTGGATGGCGTAATATTGAACAGTAATGAACAGTGATGTGCAAATTGTACATGTACTCTACCTGTACTACACTATAAGGAAGGATAATAGAGTACTCTCAGCTGTACTTCACAAGGACTCAGTGTACATCAGTAATAAGTACAACGATGTTTACACTGCAGCTCTGAACTGTACATCACAGGCCAATAAGTGGAGGAGAACCTGACCAAGTGATCAACATAACCTGACCAAGTGATCAACATAACCTGACCAAGTGATCAACATATGACCAAGTGATCAACATAACCTGACCAAGTGATCAACATAACCTGACCAAGTGATCAACATAACCTGACCAAGTGATCAACATAACCTGACGAAGTGATCAACATAACCTGACCAAGTGATCAACATAACCTGACGAAAGAATCAAAATAACCTGACGAAGTTATCTCACTATACCTATTATATCCAGGTCGTGAGGAAGAGATGGTGTCGAGCGAGATACAATAGAGGGCGGGGGGAGGGGGGTGTAGGAGGGGTAGGGGGAGGAAGGTAGAGGGGGAGAACGAACAGCTAGTAGTAGTAGTAGTAGTAGTAGTAGTAGTAGTAGTAAACCGTAGCTACTTGGTGAAAATTTGGTATTCATGGTGAGCGTCTGGCAGGACTAACTTGAGCGAGGTTCTCGACCTTGACTCAGACAGAGCTGGGGCGACGTCTTCAAAGGGGTAGCGGGGCCCAGTGGTACAGTGTCGTCTGCATCTACTCAAGGTGTGTTTGATAGATCTCTAGACCAGGGAGACGATTATTATTCATGTACAGGGACAGCGAAGAGAGATCAGGCCCGTGAATAGAAGAAGGTCAGACCCGTGAATAAGAGGTCAGGCCCGTGAATAGAAGGTCAGGTTTGTGAATAGAGAGGTCAGGCCCGTGAATAGAGGTCAGGCCGTGAATAGAGGTCGGGCCCGTGAATAGAGAGGTCAGGCCGTAATGGGGATCTCAAGGTTTGAATAGAGATTAGGGTTTTTTTGTGAATAGAGGTCCTAGTGAATAGGAGGTCAGGCCGTGAATAGAGAGGTCAGGTTTGGCCAGATAGAGGTCAGGTTTGTGAATAGAGGTCAGGTTTGTGAATAGAGGGTCAGACCCGTGAATAAGGAGATAGAAGCCCGTGAATAGAGGTCAGGCCCGTGAATGAAGGTCAGGCCGTGAATAGAGGTCAGGTTTGTGAATAGACAGGTCAGGTTTGTGGAGAATAGAGAGGTCAGGCCCGTGAATAGAGGTCGGGTTTGTGAATAGAGGTCAGGCCCGCGAATGAGGAGTCAGTACGTGAATGCATCAGGCCCGTGAATACAGAGGTCAGGCCCGTGAATACAGAGGTCAGACCCACGAATACAGAGGTCAGGCCCGTGAATACAGAGGTCAAACCCACGAATAGGGAGATCAGTATTAAGGGAATTAAACAAAGACAGAGAAATAGAGAGAATAAAAGAGATTGAGAGAAAACCCCAAACAAAATTAAAAACCGGTTTTTTTTCCCGCAAGATCAGTCCATATTAATTTTGGGTTCTTGTTTTTCGTCTCAGTATTTTTATTGACAATGGTAGACTATGAATAAACCTCTTTATCACTTTATCACACAGTAAACTAATTGTCCAATGGTCTGCAGAGAGAGAGAGAGAGAGAGAGAGAGAGAGAGAGAGAGAGAGACTGACTACACCTCCCTTAAAATTGTTCAAAAATTGGCATGTTGTTTTTATACCCAATTACGAGATGAAAACAAAAATCGATGACTATTTTTTACTAAAAACATCAGCCCAGGTACATGACCACAGTAGGTTGTTGTATGGTGTTTTATAGAGCTATCAATTACGTGGTTTGAATATCTCTCTCTCTCTCTCTCTCTCTCTCTCTCTCTCTCTTTAAAGGACCATTATATAAAAAAATTATTTGTATAAAAGGTTTAGTGACATGAAAGCAATTTGTGGTATATAGTTCAATGTATGTGTGTGTGTGTGTGTGTGTGTGTGTGTGTGTGTGTGTGTGTGTGTGTGTGTGTGTGTGTGTGTGGTACTATACTATCACCATATCACCACCATAACCCTACTATCTACCACTATCACCAGGTTATCTCTCTCACCAGGTTATCTCTCTCACCAGGTTATCTCTCTCTCACCAGGTTATCTCTCACCAGGTTATCTCTCTCACCAGGTTATCTCTCTCCTGGGTTATCTCTCTCACCAGGTTATCTCTCTCACCAGGTTACCTCTCTCACCAGGTTATCTCTCTCACCAGGTTATCTCTCTCACCAGGTTATCTCTCTCACCAGGTTATCTCTCTCACCAGGTTATCTCTCTCACCAGGTTACCTCTCTCACCAGGTTATCTCTCTCACCAGGTTATCTCTCTCTCACCAGGTTATCTCTCTCACCAGGTTATCTCTCTCACCAGGTTATCTCTCTCACCAGGTTATCTCTCTCACCAGGTTATCTCTCTCACCAGGTTATCTCTCTCACCAGGTTATCTCTCTCACCAGGTCACTCCGTAACAACAGGACCAGGATGCACTTCAACTTGTTCGTGGCCATGATGATTCAACTGGTGGTGAGGCTGACACTATACATTGACCAGTACGTGACCCGGAAGACAGAGCAGAGGTCAACAGGCATAGATAACACGGTCAGTAGTGGGTGGGGTGGGTGGGTGGGTGGAGAGAGAAAGAGAGAGATAATGAACAATATCTTCGCCAAGTCTGAAATGTATATCAAATTATCATAACGACAGTCCTTAATCTGATTGGTTAGAGCGGAAAGGTGATTGGTGGAGCGATACACGTCATTGGTGGTCGAGTCATGTGATTGGTGGTGGAGCGATACACGTCATTGGTGATCGAGTCTTGTGATTGGTGGAGATTCACGTTAGGTCAGTTGATCTAAGAGTCTGATTGGAGGAGACGGAATTGACAGGTATACAATAGATTAGAGTGAGATTAGATTTTCCCATAGGAGAGAGAGAGAGTGGGGGGGGCCACCCTCCCTCACTGTCTCCCTCCCTCGTTAGCTAATCCTCACCTTGCTCGTTAACTCTCCCTTATTATCCCACCCACCCACCCACCCACCCCTACCAAATTCACCCCCACCCACTCACCCACCCGCAGGCCCCACACGCTCACCCACCCACCAGGGCCCACTCACCACCACCGACCATTGTGCTGGGTCACGCTCGCCTCTCGTCGATCCTCTAAAATCAACGAATTTGCGAGATGGAGAGAAGAGTTTTATTAAATTATCTCACCTTCTTCTTCTTCTTCTTCTTCTTCTTCTTCTTCTTTCTTCTTATTCTTCTTCTTCTTCCTCTTTTCTCCTCCTTCTTCTTCCCCTCTCCCTCTTCTTTCTCCTCTCTCTTCTTCCTTCTTCCTCATCCTTCTTCTTCCTCCTTCCATCCTTCTCCTCACTTCTCCTTACATCTTCTCTCCACTCCTTCCCTATCCCCTTCCTCCCTACCTCCTTCCTTTCCTTCTCTACGTCCTCTTTCCCTTCCTCCGTCCCTCTTTCCTCCTTCCTTCCTTCCTTCCTTCCTCCTCTTCCTCTGTCCTCCTCCTTTCACTTCTTCCTTCCTATCCTCATCCTCCTCCTTCTTACCCCTTCTCCCCCTCCCCCCTCCCTTCTCCCCTCCCTACCCTCCCTACCCCCCAGCACTAGACCTCCTTCCCCTCCCCTTGACACTCAAGATTTTCTCCAAGACAGACAAAAAAATATATATATCAGAAAAAATAAAAAATTACATTTAAGTTTTGAGTTTATTTTATTTATTTTTGCATTTACAAATTAATTATCCACTGTTTGTATTTTTATGTATTTCTACATAGCAGTTTTTTTATTGTATTTTGTATTCTGATGTATAAGTTTTAATGCCTGTATTTAGTTACGTTGTTGTATTTTGTTGTATAAAGTTCAGTATTCAGTATTTTTTTTCTTATATGAAGTTTTAATTGTATGCAGTGAACTCTCTATTAAAGACACAGACAGACAGACGAACAGACAGACAGACAGACAGCAGACAGACAGACAGACAGACGAACGAGCGAGCAGACAGACAGACGAACGAACAGAACAGACAGAACAGACAGACACAGACAGACAGACGAACGGACAGACAGACGAACAGACAGACAGCAGACGAACCGGAAAAGCGACCAGAACCAGACAGACAGACAGACGGGCAGACAGACAGACAGACAGACAGACAGGCAGGCAGACAGGCAGACAGACAGACAGACAGACAGAGGGGGAAATGTAAAGATGGAAGGAAAATATGTCCCAGTTCTAATAGGTCCCAGTTCTAATAGGTCCCAGTTCTAATAGGTCACAGTTCTAATAGGTCACAGTTCTAATAGCCCCCATTATCCCCATTAGGATCAAGCACCAGTGTTAATGGTTAGTTTAAAGGTTGAAGTGTCGTTTACCTGTTAGGTTTGGTGAGCCCATTCAACCAATCACACGCCTTTGACCAGTCGGTAACCAAACTCCCCCCCATCTCCCCCCCCTCCCCCCCAAAGGCTTTTAGATGCAGTTCACAGAGGATTGAGGAGGGTGTTTGAAGTAACGTAGTCAGCTTGTTTGGGAGGTAGAGGGGGGAGGGAGGAGGAGGAGGGTATTAGGAGAGAGAGGGAGGAGTAGAGGAGGTGGGGAGGGAAGGGGGAGAGGGAGGAGGAGTGGGGAGGGGGTTAAAGATAAAGGTAGGGAGGTGTGGGGAGGTTAAGGGGGGAGGGGAGGTGGGGAGGAGATGGGGTAGGAGGAGGAGGAAGGGAGCTAGTAGGAGGAGGAAGAGGTTGGAGGGGAGAAGAGGAGGTAGAGGAGAGGTCATGGGTGAAGGGTATCGTGGTGACCTCGACTGACCTTTGTAAGAGTCAACACCTTACCTGTTGTGT